CATTCTTAACGCTAAGCTTTAATTTTTTTTCTGTTGGTTCAATTCTTAAGATGTGACTGAAATTATAATGTATTGAAGTGGGAGTTTTTGTAGTAATTTTGCTTTATGCAGATCATGACTTGAGTTATGTTATGGTTTGCACTTTGTGGGTCATGTAGTAGTCATTATGACAGCAAAACGGGAGTTGATTCCTACGTTCATATTATTTCCAACTGATGCAGCCTTTTCTTTATTTTGTCCTTCTAACTTGGAATAACATTGACCTCTTTGCTTCTGTACTAGTGTTAACTGCATTAAACATTCACACTGCTCATTGTTTCTGGTATCTAACTCTGCTCTTTGGTAGTGATTTCAGTTCATATTTTTATCATCTGTACAGTTACATGGTTTTTTGGATCATCATAGACTATTGAGTTTTAACATGTTCTATAATGGAAGAACTTGGAAGTTGATTTAACAATTCTTGATTGGTTAAAACATGTGGCATGCAAGGTTTTCATTCTTATCATTTCATATGTTGATTTGAATTTCTGCATGCTTACTTGAGTCTTGAGTACTGAACATATTTTATTTATGCTATTATCAAAAAATAAAATAAATGCACAAGCTTACTTGAGTATTGGACTAAAGTTATGTATGTTATGCTGGAAATATTATTTGTGTCCAATTGGTCATACTTTTCGAAGAAAAAAAATCTTATTTTACTTATTTTTTCATAAATATTCAATTCTACTATTTCTACCTGCTTACATGAATGTAAGGGATTTCCATTTTTGCTACAAATTCAAGGTTTTGGAGCTGTGGACCAAGAGAAATTTTAGATGTGATTGTGGAAATTCAAAATTTGGAGAGTTCTCATGCAAGCTTTCCCCAAATAAGGATGTAGAGAATACAGAGAATTCATATAATCACAACTTCAAAGGTCTATACTGCACCTGCAATCGCCCCTATCCAGATCCAGATCTTGAGGAACAAGTAGAAATGATACAGTGCTGTATGTGTGAGGACTGGTTTCATGAGGAACATATCAGTCTCAGCTCTCCCAATGAGGTTGGTAGGCTGCATCTCAGTGAATGTACTCCATTCCTGTATCATGGTTTTTCCTTTGATAGTTTTTGCGTAAATATCCCATAAAATTGCAAAGTACTTTGGTTTCACTGTTAAAATTATTGGCAAATCTAGATATGACCTATTGAGCAAGCCCATATTATTATTTACCACTGTTAAAATTATGAAATGTTCTGTAGCCTGCTCGTGATCAAACTTTTTGTGAATACTGCTGCTGCCTCCTTTAGGGTTCAATTCATATTAAGCATGATGCCATTGACACTGTTCTGGCCTGAACTTTTATCTTTATGGATATGTACTCTAATCATTTGTAAACATTGAATAATTTGGTGAACTTATTGATTTTAATGACAATTTATTTGTTTGAAGGACTTTTCAATGGGGAATTTTTTACATGGTTGGTTTAATTGAAGTTGAGCAATGTAAATAGCTAACTTGAGCTTTGATATTGCATAAGAGGAAGTAAAAAAAATGACTGCTATTTAGCTGCTTTTGCACTATTCTTTTGAGTTATTTGTATTGGGTATCAGATTATGATCTGAAAATACTTGTATGACAGATTCCTAGAGATGAGGAAGGGGAGCCACTATATGAGGATTTCATATGCAAGGCATGTTCGGTGGTTTGTTCATTTCTGACTCTGTATCCTAAAACCATATGGGCAGCTGGGAGACAGCTTGTTGCTGCTAACAAAAATAAAGTTGTGGTGGAAGACATCCCTTCTAAAGATGAAGCTGGGAAACTTGACAATGATTCGTGCTCTGAAGCTGTCCAAAAGGATCATTTGGTTGCTGATACCAATGGTGCAGCTGCATCTGATGAGAAGAAGTCCATTGTTGGAGAAGGCTCTGAGAGCAATGCTAGCTCAAGTCTCTTTGGAAGTATTGCTAGTTCACATGCTACTTGTGTTCTTGTAGTAGACTGGATGGCTGCATCACTTGATTCAGAAAGTAGACCCTTTTTTCTTTCAAAGAATTGGAGAGATGCCCTCTGCAAATGTGATAAGTGCTTGGATATGTACGAGCAGAAACATATCAGTTACCTACTTGACAAGGAGGATTCAATAGCAGAGTATGAAAAAAATGCTAAGCAAAAGAGGGATGAAAAGTTGCAGCAAAGGGAGGGCGCTGAATTGAATTTCTTTAACAATCTCGGTCATGTAGAAAAAATGGAAATTCTGACTGGCATTGCAGACTTCAAAGATGAGTTCCGGTCCTTCCTGGTATGGTATTGATTGTCTATCTTTTTTTAAGTAGTTATTTGTTTCTCTTGACCGTGATTGTGCACTTTTTTAGTTTCTAACCTGCGCTGAATATATTCCAAGGAAGCCATGTATTTTTTTTAATGTTCCTTCATCATCAGATTCTTCATTTATGTACCTTTAGATGACTTTGTATTTCTATCCTTTACTAGCCGCATCTGAGATTTAAGTTTAATACTTTTGTTTTCCTATCCTTTAGGGCTCAGTTGATCCTTCAAAGGCAATCACAGCAGCGGATGTCAAACAGATGTTCGAGAACCTTAATAACAAGCGCCGCCGTGTGTAGTTTAAGGTTTTTTCAGTGGATATTACTGCACTTGCTGAGTTTTAACTTAGACTACTATCTCTAATATTATGAATGCAGTTGTGTCTTTGATGACTTTGTATTCACTGTGTTTCTGTACTAGCTGAAGTTCTGCTATGTTTGACAACATATATGTACCCTGTTAAGTGGCTTCTAGTATACTTTATGCATATGGGTTTTATCCAAGTCAAAACATGCCTACGCCCAACCGGTGTGGCGCTTTGACCGATTGTGGTTCTCATACTGGACCCAACTAAAAGTTTTTTTGAAGTTCTTTGAGTTCAAACGAAGTAAGCAGGCGGACCCTTCATAGGTAGTCTATTTGATTTCCAGATTATTTTTTTGTTTTAATTATTGATGCAAGCTATAGGTTTTATATGCAACAAGCAAGAAGATAGTATACCATATCAAATCAAGGTGGCTAATTAATTTTGTTTTTCAGTTAAGATTTTGTGCATGAGGAAAAGAAAAGAAACAAAATAATGATTGTGCATAAGGATAAAGATGAGAAAAAAAAATCAAGTTTTGACAATTTAAAATTGACCCATCTCTATTTCGTAGGCCGTTTTCTGTCGTTGATCAACTTGGTGGATCATTAACCTTCTCTCCTACTGGTTTATGATGGTATTTAGTCATTGATTACTGTTTAGTATAATCAAACTAAATTCTTTCAAGTGCAATACATTCACAAGGCTAATAGCAATTCATACGGTGTTTGGTAAGCATGAGATCATATAGTTGCATTCAAATAAAACATGCAAAATGGTCAAAACAAAGTTCAAGTGGAGACAAATTGTTAGGTTGCATTTATGTCCTCGATGAAATGAAAAAGTTTATGTATTTCCACAGTAAAACATTTAAATAATCTGAAACCAGTCACTCCCCCTACCTAATCTTTGGAGATTGTCGACTAATAATTCACTGCTTTGACTGACGCTCCTTGATTACGAAATCCTCTTCCTAAAAGAAAAATGGTTAAACAATGGGTAAAATATATATTTTTTTAATTGATAGAAAATGTCGATTGATTTTTAATTCGGTTAAATCAATTGATATTATAGTATAATAAGAACTCGGGTTTAAACATGTTTAAGTTCACGATAATCTTTAATTTATAGACATTGATAAAATGGTAAAATTATATTTTTTTCTTCATTAATTTATAATTAATTTTGAATTCTAATATAAAATTACTAGTTTTACCACTATTTACATATAACAAATAAATAAGTATATTCAAAGTCGATATTGCGCATGATAACCTCATACAGAGTTGGAGGTCCTTCAACCATGTCTCATCAGCAGTGTCAGATTTATTAATAGTGTTGGTTGGCAGTTTGTACGACAGAATTTAGTTGAAGCAAAATGGTGGACCCACGCCAACATGCATTCAATAAGTTGAAGCAAAGGATGTTCTTTGCAAACACCACATTTATCAGGAATTTTCTTCTGAAAGAAAATACAGAATTTCGGTGCATAAAATCTATGTCCACATCATGCAGTAGAGATATGCTTGCTGATCACTAGGTTTGACAGAAATCAAAACCCTAATTAAACAACGTTGAACAAGTCCAAGGAGATTGATTTAAACCATCAATGCTTTAAAATCTTGTTTTTGGCCTCTCTTTATAGATAAATGCAGTGCTTGCTTTTGGTAACTTGAATTTCTAAGCTTTCACCCAATGGATGAAGAAGATGCTTAACGATGTATAGACTAGTGTTTTCAAATCAAGATTATCGACGATTAATAATATTGTTAATTATCACTCTCAGTCTAAGGTAAATAACGGTAAAAATAAAATATTATTCTCTTTAAAGTATTCATATTTCAGTAGTAAAAGAGAATTTTATTTTCTTTAAAGAACTCGGATTCAAACAGGTACATCTGTAGAGTATATATATGGTTAAAAAAAATTAAACATATATTATCATTCCAAACTATTATGAAAATAATATTGTAAGTTGTCACTATCAGTCTATAAGACAATCCTTGCATTAAGATCAACAAAAGATCAAAAGTAGTTGAACAATGTCTACGTAAATTCTGCCACTTCTTCATGCACACAGATGCCGACAATATATATAAATATTATAATGCGGTGGTCGATCATGGAGGGCCAAGTGTTTTTTTAATACCCAACTACTATGGAAACATCCTTTAAATACTTATCTAACTCGTAGTCTTAATAAAAACCAAGTTGTAATTAGTTTATATTAAGTTGTCTCTTTCTGTGCGGAAAAATCAAGTCTCGTGAGGAGAAAATCAGTGTTGATTATACAGGAGATTTAGTGTATCTAATTTTGTTTATAAATACCCTCATTCAGTTCCCATTTAACAAGAAGTTTTTGCAGTTGAAAAAAGAGCACATGGGGAATTGTATGAAGAAGACATTCAGATCAAGGCAGCAGGTGGAAGAAGAAGAAATAGAAGAGATTCGTGAAGCTGCTACGAAGGAAAACGAAGGAGGAAAAGGCAGCATGAAGGTGAAGATAGTTCTTACAAAAGAGGAGCTCGAGTTGTTGTTAGTGAAGCTGAAGAATAAGAACGGCAATAATGGCGGGTATCGGTTAGGGGAACTTTTGGCTGAAATGGAAAAAGCTAGATCAGTTAAAGTGGAGTGTTGTTGGAGGCCTTCATTGGAAAGTATCATGGAAGATGAAGAAGACGATGTTATCAGTTCATGAAAGCTTCAGTCCATCCTTTTGTAAACTATTAATATACCCTTTTACTTAGCTAACATTTTTTATTCTGGATCTTCGGGTTAGTGAGTGATGAACCGGGTTAGGCCTTAGGAGTTTTTGGTTTTGAAAATAGATTACTATCTCTTTCTCCTTTTTACTGCAACCTTGAATGTTTTATATTCAAGCTTTCATGGAGAATTAGGTACAGATGGATTTATATGTGCATATATATGTGATCTAAAGAAGAGAGTTTGTGTTAAAGTTAAAACTCCAGTTGTTGTAGGCTGGATTTTTCTGGGGAATTGAGTGATGAATTTTCCTCTTTTGCGGATATATATATATATATATATATATATATATATATATATGTAGTGTTAGTACCCGCTTACATAATATAAAGTTTTAGTTTTACATAAATTTAAGATCATTAGTGAATGAAAATAGAGATTGATTCTTTATTTTTTTTTCCGTGAATATATTCTTATTTCCTACTATTAATCTCGATATCTATTTTCACTCTTCTAAACATTGTGTAACAGAATATTTTCTCATATATATATATATATATATTACTTTTAATTATTAGAACCAGAACCCTAATAAATATTTAAAAAATCCAAGATATAATCATGCCAAATCATCAATAATAGAATACTAGAGGCATGCGGAAACATAACTGAATTAGTTGCTAGGTTGAAATCATTTAGTATTTCTTCGGTTGTGATCTTCCAAGAAATATAGTTCTCTTGCGTATAAACTCTCTCACATGGGATAAGAGAAAAATATTATATGATATATTTCTTGGTGATCATAATCTTTTTATAGAACTGATTTAAGAATCAATTATTGTATGTACTTATAACTTTATCGCTTGTTAAATTATAAATACAATTTAATAGTATCTACACTATTTTCATGATACTTCTAATTCCTTATGACTTTATAACATAATTGATCACTTAATTTATGACAACAATATATATAAAAATTATGTATCCATAATTATAGATTTTAATCCAACATTAATGATCGTCGATGAGAAAAATCATAATTTATATTAATGTTTCGGGTTTCAAAATTACAAAAAACAATAACCCTAAATTTAAAAGTTATATAATATTTTGGCTCAAAAGTTTGTGTATCATTATCAGTTCGAGATTAAATCGAAATAAAATTAATTTGTTTTTGAGACCAATATACTATTTAACTCATGTTTTAAGTACCTAATTTTTTTTTGAGAGTTTGAAGGGAGTTAGCTGTAAACTTGATAAACCACAAACAAACCCAACGGATCAAAAGTCTCCAACTCCTCGACTCCTTGAACCAGAGCTTCTGTTTTCATACTTGTATTAATTTCTGTAGACCGCCAACAATAATTGTTTCTTGTATTAATTTCTTTACACATATAATGCCTACCCAATTGTTTCTTGTGGCATGGCGAGGACTTGGCGGAAAGAGAAGAGAAGCCTGGCAATGGCAAATGTTTAGACCAATGAGCTTCTGGAAAATGAAACTGAGCTCAGATCATAATGATGTAAGCTTTACGACCCAAATCCCAAAATAAATATTAAGTCAATTAGTATAGACTAAATGCTTATGTGATTAAAGGAATGATTGTCATATGTAAAATTCTTGGGTTTAAACATGATATCTAAATAGGTATTTGTGTGTTTATTACTAATAATTGAGAATCTTTCGAACATATACTACATTGTAAAGTAATCGGCCTAAATTAATAAATAAAAAAAATCATTTTTAACCCCTTTTTGTCATCCGGAAATCATCCGGTGAGCGTAAAATGAGGTTTTCATTGATCAAAAGATAAGATTATTATTTATAAGTTTAATCATAACATTATTGTTTTCTTATTGAAAGTTTGATAGGCTGAGCTACCATTAAACCCTCATTTTAACCAACTCTAAAGCCCATTGAGTAAAAATGAGGTAAAAGGTTGGTGCTTAAATGGCCTAATGGCTAATAATTAAATGTTCGGTGAGTAATTACTAATTTCTGCTTACTTATTCCTCCAGGAAACGGGATACGTAAGTCTCAATTATCGCTTATTAAACAATCACCTGTGACCAACAACACTTGATTTTTTTTTGTTAATGTATGTTCACTCAATTACAAATTTAACCTTTTTTTCTTTAAAAATCAAAACAATAATAATAATAATTGAAAAATGCTATGGTTTTCGTTCCGCCTCGCGCTCCAGTTCCTTCTTCCTTGCCTCTAGGTTCTTCTTCAAATAATCTTGTTCATTTGAGATAAGTACTAAAGGTTAATAGAAAAAGAAACAACTCATTGAACGTCATATTTCAGGTCAATAAACTTCGTAGCTGATGGAGAAAAATAGCAATATATGGGTTGCCGAATGAAAACCATACATTGTAGTCGCCGGCATAGTCCTGCAAATAAGATTTTTTTAAATATTTTCAGTTAAATAAGAATTTTTAATATTAACCGGGTACTCGGTATCCGATTTTACGGGTATCCGAATTTCACTGATATTCGATTAGCGGGTATCCGATAATCATTGGAACACTAACCGAAAAATATACTATTTCAAGAACTGGGTACCATACATCTCGAGTACCCATAAATCTGGTTACTCGGTTATAAACACCCCTACTAAGAGCTACATAAAGGTTATTCAACAAGAATATTGATTAAAAGAAGGGTGTATATAAACATATTTTGTTAGATTAAAATATATATTTACGGACACATATTTTTAATGTATATTGTTATAATAAAATATGACATAAATTAAATGACTAATTATGTTATAAAGTCAAAAGATATTAGAAGTATCATATAAATAAAAGCATAGATACTATTAAAGTTATATTTATAATTTAATGAGGGATAATGTTATAAATACAAACAATAAATGATTCTTTAATCAACTATATAAAGAGGTTATAGTCTCCAATAAATATATTATCTTATATTTTCTCTTATCTTGTCATAGAGTTTATACTCAACAAAACTCTATCTTCTTGGAAGATCACAACAACAAAAATACTCAAAGATTTCAACCTATTGATTAATTCAGGTACGTTTTCGCATGTAGTATTTTATTTTTTATGATTTGATGTGATTTGATCCTGATTGTTTTCATATTTAATATGGTTTGATTCTAACATATTTTAGTACAGAAAATTGGTTTTAAGGCGTGACTTGACATTTAATCTTTTTTATTCAATTAGATACTTAAATCAGGTTTTAAAGTTTTTTTAAGTTCAATTTGGTGCCTAAAGTTGACTTATTGTTTTAATTGGTGTATGAATTTCCTTTTTTTCCCCTTTCTAAATTAGTATTTATTGTGAATGATCTACTTGAATAAACTTACACTATGAGATCAAATCCATGTATCAATTTGAACTAAAAAAGTAAAGTCGAAATGTCTAACTGAACCACATAAACAAAAAAATGTAAGTACTAAACTGAACCTTGAGACTAAATTTAGTTATCTAATTGGATAAAAAAATGCTTAAATGTCAAATTGCACATTAAATCTAAATTCAAGCATCTAAATATATAATTACCCTTAAATCATTTTTTAATAATTTATAATAATTATAAAATAATACATGATCATTTTTTTTAATTAATTGGTATCGTACATATCCTATAAAAGAAGTTGCCCAAACATAAAACTTTTAACAAAAACAATATTCTTTTTTAATAATGATATGACTCGATTAATTCCTTAAAACACTTTTTATAAAAACCCAAAAGAAACGCTAATAAATATTAAGAGAACGACTTCTCGAAAAGATAAAATGAACCGTTAATTTACTTGTAAAGTTAATGCGGCATTATCCTAATCTAACCCTACCTTATCTTACAAAACTATAATTCTAGTTATTTGTTTGGATAAACTACTCACATGATCACCCAACTTTTAGAGAACTATCAATTTAACCACAAAATGAAGGAAAAATAAAATCTCCCCCTTAAAATTTTTTAAAAAAATGTCCTTCTGAGTAAACCTCAGATGCACGACTGCTATATCAGACTACTAGATTTGTGACATGATTGAAAATAAATAATTTTGAAAACAAATTGATATTGAAATGAATACATTTATTTTACAAAAATATACTATTAATTATATAGTTAATTAAATTTATAATATTATAATTATGTATAACATTAATTCAAATTATTTTATAATATTAATTAATTTTATAACTGATATATTTTTATGAAATAAATATAATTAATTTGAACATTAATTTAATTTTATAATGATTTATTTTCAGCCATGTAATAAAATTCATAAATTTTTGTGTAATAGTATGTATTACTTGTAATTATACATGTTATTATTTTATTCGAGATAATCTATCATGTTAAATGCCATTAGGAGACTGAACGAGTGAATGAAATAAAAATTCTTTTCGGTGATTAATTTGGTAACAATTAATAATCGGGTGACCATTTGATTAGTTTATTTTAGGATAAATTTTGTATATTTTCTTCACACTAAATTCAAAAAATATAATATTTAATTATTTTTGTTTTTATTTCATTAAGATTTGATCACATTCGTTTTTATTTAATTAAGATGTGATCATTTACTTTATCAACTTTTAAATGTTTAGTTACTAAAATTTTAGTTTCTGCTCATGAACAAAAGGGAATAAATTAAATGGATGTGATCATATTTTAATTAAATAAAAATAAAAATGATCCAATATTATATTTTTTAAATTTAGTAAAAAAAATGCATAAAATTAAAACAGATGTGATCAATAATGTAGTTTACCCTTTATTCTATTTACTCTATTTTCGTGAACTAAAAAAAGGTGGTGGTATGATTGTCTTTTCTGCATAGAAGTAAGAAACTCGAATAAACAACTCGACAGACCGGTGATGGTTAGGAAAGTGGTCGAAAGTCGAAACTCTTTTGGTGGAACACAGAGTCCTTTTCCCTTTAGCTTTCTTCAACCTTGTTCCTTTTGATTCAACTCTTGCTGCTGATACGGTTCACGAGATCAACTGTTTCTGTAAGCTCTGCAGAACCTTTGTTATTTATTATTTTAACCGGGATTTAGATTAATTGGGATTTTTTTCTTATTAGATTTCTTCTTGTTGGTAGCTTTTCGTTTTAGTTGTTGTTTTAGCCGTTGATCATGGGTTTTCACTTGTTTGTTTCCTTTTTTTCACGGTAATTGTATTTCTAGTTGTTTGAGCAGTTAGTTATGGTTTAATTGATGCTGTTTTGGTATTTATGTATAGAGTTAATGGAAATTCAATGGTTTGACCGTTTCCTGTTAAAGAAAGCCTTCTCCCTGTTAATTATTATATTGGCTGATTAATTTCTGGTTAGGACTTGGGAAACAATAGAGCTATGAGCAATTTTAGTTACATTGAAGTCTAACTGATGACTATTATTTTGATTTTTAAGTCTGTTTTTTTTTCTGTGGTGCTTCTGGTGCATAATTGAATCTGATATATTCCCTAAATGTCATGAATTTTCATATACGTTGACACCTTTTAGTTTTCTAGAGATTAGCTAGTTGTATACATCCATATGAACCTGAAATCTTATATTTTTCAATGTTTTTAAGGAGCTACACTTGTTGATTCTTCTGAAAGAACTCAAAATCCCGGTTGGAAATTAGTCTGCTTACCATTTCGACTCATTCTTCTCATATCTGCTCTCTATAATATTGCCTGGGTTGTAAAGCTTTCTGAATAAGTCAGTGATTAAAGCAGATACCCTTTCCTCTTTGTTGGACTTGGAAAGCTTATTCTAACATCTTAAGTTTCGTTATGCGTTATTAGTCTGACTGCTTTATTTGGTTTTATTGATAATAAGTTTGTAAATCATCCTACAGTGAGTGTAGCTTTATGGATGACGGTTTTGGGAGTATCAAGGTGATTCCAGATCATTTTCAAGTCTCAACTCCTCCAAGGGGTGACTCTCTTCAAAACAGTTCACCTGATTCACCATCAAGTACTGGAAATTCTTCGAGGTATTGCTTTCTGAAGGTAAAAAAGAGAAGAGATTAAGTATTTTAGTTCATCTTATCTCAATGTCTTTTGGTTCTGCTTTAGGATAGGTCCCGTAGCAGTTTATGGTCTCGGCGAAAATTTAGAAAGGCTGCATTCATGTTGAATCTGTTCAGCTTACGTGGCTTGTCATTTAGTGGTGCTGATGGTCAAGAAAAGGTTCATATACTATTCTCTTTGTATCTTGCCATTTGGTTTTATTAATAATTGGACATTGCTCACCTGAATTTTTCATATGCAGGTTAATTTGACTGCTGCGGAGTTGGAATCACTAAGATCAGAACTTGCCGATATAGAAGAGAGAGAAGCTCACTTGAGAGCTCGGTAAGGAAGAGTTGAATCTTGACTTTTAATCCATGAGCTATATATGTGTGTCCATAATGATTTAGCATAAGAAAGAGTTATACTTGATTCCAGAATTTCAAAATTATTGTTTCTGAAACTGGAAGTTATGTGATGTTATCCTAGCAAATAATGGTCTCTGAACCATTGGTGTTTCAATGTTTTCTTATGGGTTTCTTTTTTCCTGAGATTGCATGTCCACAATACCTAGCAGCATTGATGTAATATTGAGATTTAGACACAATATTTCTACATTTCTTTTATTGATGTTTCTGCTTTATGCAGGTTGGAACATATTGATGAAATTTTACGGTCTGCGCGTCTTTCTGGCTATTTGTACATCCGAACAGTATGAATATGCTCATCCTGCTATCTTACTTCATATTTTGTTTTTGCTGCATCCTCTCTATGCATGCACAGCTACTGTTATGGGGTAATGATTTTTCTATGAATCTTTCATTTGCAGAGGTGGACAGCTTTACCTGGAGAACCTGCTCCTGTTGATGATGTTGATATTGATGACTGGCTTCCTAGATTTATTTTTCTTCATGGCCAATGCATATTCTTCTATTTATCCTCCACAGGTAATTAGCCTTTGGTATATTCTCCTTTTTTTTCTTTTACTATTATAAGTTGCATCTGGATTCGGTGATGCATGTTGTTGCAACTGCATTGTTGGTGTAATATGGAAAATGACAAAATTTTCTCAGTAGTAGCTGAAATTTCAAATTCAAGATCAAGTTTTTAATTGTTCTCTGCTTTGATGAACACTAAGTTTCAAATAATGTCTTTTAAGATTCTCTTCGCTTAACTTTGTCAAGCATCACCACTAACAATGACGAATTCGTGCAATAGGCTGGTCAAATGTAAACATAGCACAGGCTGGTGGATTATGAACATTACATGCTGATCAACTTCTTGCTTTGCAGATTTGAGCCCTCAAGATTCCACACTTCTGTCTGATGTTGTTGAAGTAGGTTCTCTGCCAAGCTTTATAAGAGAAGATGAAGGGACACAATATGCCTTTTATATCTTAACTTGTCAAGGACTGCGTTACGAGTGTTCACATGTTTCTAAAGTACAGGTATACCTTGTTTTTGTATATGTAATATGCATATATATAAATTCACGAGTCGGCATTAGATTCGGATCATTTTGTTCATAGTATGGATAAACTATAGATGGTTCATGGTTGTGAGGATTGTGATATGCGATAACGCTTCCAAATTGTTTTCATTGGCTTTAAGTAGGACCAAAGAAACCTGTTGGAGCATAGATGAATTCTGGACAACCTACAATAGAACTTCAATACATATTCATATAATTGTTTGTTTTTTCAATTAAAAAAACAACTTTGACTCTTTTCTCTCTTTTCCTAGGTGGACACCTGGTTATCGGCTTTGCAGACAGACTGCAAGTTGGGTTCTGATGTTAAAGTCCCAAACGGTTCGTAATATCATTTACGAGTTCTCTTGTTAACAGTAACTTGGGATAGAGGTCAAGCAAAAATTATGATATCCAGATTCCTTGTTTTCCTTGACGTATCTATGTCCGATTCAATCATTTGCACGGGAAATGATCCTCCAAATATATTGGACAAGTACATATATTCGATACTCGTGCCTGGTTCAGGTAACATATATTAGATCTAGCGTATTGAACTCAGCTTACATTGAAATGTACTGGGAGTCTGGGACTGGGATCCCACTAACAATTGCTTTGTTGTTGTACATATGATTGGCATTTCTAATGAAGCAGCACCTGTCTTGAACGATCCCTTAAGAATGAGAGAAGTTTGATTCCTGGTTTTATTGTAATAAACTAGCTTTGCATGCCAAGGAAGGTGTTGGATGTTAAAAAACTATTCCAAACAGAGTACTTTTAAAGCATTATTGACTGCTTTTGCCCTGTGAGAAGACAACTCCCCGAAGTTCTTTTCTTGCGATTAAGCCCTTAAATGAACATGCAAGACAGATCAAAACATCCCTTGTAACTGGAATATCCAATAATATATATATATATATATATATTATGAGTTAGATCACCATGCATAACAGAGAATAAGGTTTATCCTGAAGCAATCTCATGTTGGGAAACTACAAATATGAAAGATGTATAGATAGAAGATTTTACAGCAGGTAGTTTGGGAAATAAATATTGACAAAAGAGTTAAGTGTATCTGCTTTATCATTATCTTTTTCATTTGTTTTAGTTTCCCAAGACGGCTAAGGATTTTGTTGAAGAATATAACATTTATCATTAGACAGTTATTGTGAGTGATACGATTCTACTTTTGTGTAGTGTGCCCACCGCATTTTGTATATTTTTGGGTAATTCATCACAATTTAACTATAGGATTATAATTTAATTATTAATCTTTTAATTTTATTAATTAAATTATATTTAATTATTTAAATGAGTTCAATAAAGTCACATATCATTAGCATTCCATATAAGAATAATGTGACAATAAAATTAATATTGTTGCATAGTTAGTCCCTATAATCATATATTCTATCAATTTGATATTGCTTTTAATTTAATTTAATATATTTAATCCTTCAATCAAATGATGACATGTGTCATCATTTGATTAATTTTTTCTTAATTTTAAATTATTTAATTGAATAAAATAAGAAAGATGATTTAAGTGGTTCAATTAATAAAATTGAAAGATCAATAGTTAAATTAGAATCTCTTTAAGTCGTCATTACTATAATTCATCTTGTATTTTTTCATATTAGAGCAAGTACTGAGTTTTATTTTAATAAAATACTCTATACTTTTCATCAAATAAGATTTTAATTTATATGAAATAAATCAATTTGATTTCTTAAGAATATAATTGGAAGGTGGGGATTAGGGATTGTGATAAAGTCCAAAAAACCCTAAACATAGTGGCGATATCTGAGGTTCAGATATGAGACACGTGGTTTGTCACTTTTCACCTACAAGTTGGGATAGAGCCTTTTTTGGGCGAACCAAACCCAATCGCGCAACAAAGAAAAGTGACGTCTGCCCCTACTCCAATTGAATCTCAGCCACACATCAACATATCAACAACAACGACAACAATAGTAGTATATTGATTATTAGGATAAAATACATATGATATATAACTCAATTATTAATTTGATTACAAAATGGTTATTTTATTTCTATAAATTATAATTTAATTATTAAATTAAAACATTATCACAAAAATTACTAACAAGTTAAATATTAGGGGAAATCATAATATTGACATAGTATATTAAAAATTTCAATCTTCAAAATTTATATATTTTATCAAATTTATTCTAACTCAAAACTATTTTATAAATTTAATCTTTATTATTTAAAAATTATATTAATTTAATTATTATTATTCTCTTAAATTGTTTATTCATCTCTTAAAAATGATATATCACTTTAATTTAATAATATTATAAAAATGATTAAATTAATAAATTTTTTAAATATATTAAAAATTAAATTAAATAAATAATTTTGAATTAAAAATAAAATGATAAATTTTTAAAATTAAAACGATTATCATATGAAATCATATTAAACATATGATTAATTTTTTTAAAAAATTGATCTATTTATAATACTATTTTAATTAAATGAAATTATTATTATTATTATTATTATTATATTAGAGATCTCAAATCAGAAAATAAACAAATAAAAACTATAGTCACACAACGTGAACGCCCCAAGAGCCTAGTATAAATAAAAGCCTCTCATTTTTCTACTTATCTCCCTCTCGCTTCAAACACTTCACACCCGTTGCTCTCGGCTTATATCTATCAATCAAATCCGCAAAATACAAACAAAAATGAGCTCTCAGATTTTCAGATCTGCTTCTAGAGCTGCGAGGTCTCTCCTTTCATCTTCCAAGTCCTCTCGCTTTTACTCTGGTAATCAAGTCTTTTCTCATTTCTCTCTTCTGTCTGTGTTTTATTTACTTAATTCTTTTTGACGGCTGACCCGTGAAGTGATTTCTTTCACGATGAATATATTTCCTGATAATGCAACCTTGTTCCCCCCCCCCCCCTAAAGGAAAACATATTGTCAAACGTAGAATAATGATTTGAAAGTGTTTTTTTAATATACCAAAATGAAAAAGAAAAAAAGTGTTTGATTTTCATTTCACTACTGTGAAGTATTTGATTATTATCCCCTAGTTTTAGATCGATCCTATGAATCATTTTCAACTCTGAATTTTAACTAGCTTTCGGGATTTACTTTCTCATTCAGATATCAAAATCGATACATTTATTTGATTATTTTGCATTATTTTTTGCTAATTTTGAAATGCGTTAATTTTGTTTGGATGGAAGTCTTCCTACTCTTACTTCCTAGTTGCCTGTTTGCAACGGAAAATCACTTTTCAAAGAAAACTCTAATTCCAGTTTTTAATTGTTATGAACAGTGCTATACTTTTTTCTTTATTCGTAAAAAGTTGTCCCGAACTCATAGTTCTGTTCTTGACGTAGGTTCTCAAAAGGGAAAAGATTAGAAGAATATGTTACTTTTCATGTTTTTTATTTGTAGAATCAATTCTCGTTTTATTGCCCCATAATGATTTACTTTGCATCCCCTATTAAAGAGGAAAAGGGAAAGAAAAATATTTATTCCAAAACTTTATGCCCCCATGCCACATGCGCTATCTGTCTTGGCTTCAACTCTGTTTGTACTGTGTTATTTCTTGCTTTTAATTATTTCATCCACCCTGTTGGGGACACATCCTTTTTCTCTCTAATTAACGATTTTGTACTTAAGTTGGAATATGATCTTAGTTTTGGCTAGGCATCTGATGCTTTCTCTTTGTTTTGGTGCAAGGAAAGGAACGACCACCATGTTTTGTTTTAACATTTCTTTTAACTTTTCAATTTCTGATGCTTTCTCTTTCCTTCATGTTTTATATCATACATTGCATTTATTTTAAGTCTTGGAAATCTGAACTGCTGTTAGGAGTGTTGGCCTGCTAACACTCTTTATTTTCTTTTATTAATCACAATGGCAGTTTAAATTTTCAAAAACAAATACACTGCATTTATTTTAAGTTCTAGAGATGATCGTTGTTAGGAGTGGCGGCCTGCTAGTACTCTTTATTTTCTTTTATTAATCATAATGGCAATTTCAATTTTAAAAAAAATGCACTGCTTTTATTTATTTTTGAATGGAAGACCATTGAAAAGTGAAAACTAATAAAACAGCCTACTTAAGGTTTCTAGACACAGTAGAAGACCGATCCTCAGCTTGCACAGCAAACTGGACTTCCTACTTGAATTTTTGTGCCTCAGTGCACCTAGCGCCGTTTAAAACTAAGAATATGGTTGGGGTGTTCGCTATGTGCTTGGACCTACTTGAACTTAAGTGGGCGGCATGCGTTACTGAACTATTTATGTTAATAAACTAAGAAAAGCGTGCATTCATGTGCTGATAATTTCCATTGCATTAAATGAGAATGTCTATGCAAAACGTTCGTGTGCTGATAATTTCCATTGTATTATGGTTTGTAGAAGGGCGAGCTGTAGCTGCTGCTGCTGCAGTTTCACTTAGCGGTAAAGTGCCTCTTTTAGCTTCGGCTTATGCAAGTACTGCATCTGCCAATGCATCAAGAGCATGGCTTTCAGGAGTTCTTGCTCTTCCAATGGCAGGTTTGGATGACTTTTAACTTTTTCCTCAGTTCTCTGTTTTGTTAATTATGTGATAGGATTCGGATGCATGCCCCTTTGGTTTCATCTGGAATAGTACTTTCTGTAATTTGGATCATGCTTGTAAAACAAATTGATATGGTGAAAGAAGAGGAGCCTGCTCCCTTGCTCAAGTTTTAGCATTGTGGCGTCCTGGACCTCTCCAACAAAATTATACTTTGCATTTGCATAGTAGGGAGGAAATGCCTTATTTTGATGCATTTTAGACTTGACTTCTTCCATTAATTTCTCCCAACATTGTGCCCAAGTCCCTGAATAATGAATGTGTACTGGTTATCATCATGTATTGCTGCATTTATCTAATTTGATTCTACTGCCTTTTCTTATTCTTGCCTATGCTCTCCTTCTATTCCGTGTCCATCTACTGCATGGCTTCACAGATGGTTCCCCATAATTAGTTGATTGTGCTTCCTACGTCCTTGGAATGAATTTTGATTGGTTGCATGATGATGACGATGAATAACTTATTTGCTAGATCAAGTTTCTACCTACTTTTGCTCTTGGAATTAATTCTAAAACAGAATGAAGAGTATTAGCAGTGTAGATGATTGGCTTACTGATTGTAATCTTTGTGGATGTATTCCACACACATTCCCCCCTTAACCCAACCCCTGAATGTTTGTGTTTTCATCATCTTTGTAGCTTACATGCTTCAGGAGCAGGAGGTTCATGCTGCAGAGGTAATCCATCACAATTCAATTATGTAGCTAATACACTATTTTTCATTGTGTATGCTGTTCATTTTTTCCTCATTCTGTTCTCTGTATAATTTACCATTTTTGTTCATTCAGATGGAACGCACCTTCATTGCAATCAAGCCAGATGGAGTACAAAGAGGGCTGGTGAGAATGAGATTCATCAAATCTTTATCTCCAACTTAAGATGTCTTCTCATAATCTTATTCTTTTCCAGATTTCGGAAATCATATCTCGTTTTGAGCGCAAGGGGTTCAAGCTTGTGGCCATCAAGCTAGTGGTTCCATCAAAGGAGTTTGCCCAAAAACATTATGATGACTTGAAGGAAAGACCCTTCTTCAATGGCCTGTGCGAATTCCTCAGCTCTGGTCCTGTTCTTGCCATGGTAAAGAGAAACCATCTTCGTGTTGTATTTGTTTCAAGCCGAACTAAGCTAAGTCAACTTCATTCACACTCAGGTCTGGGAAGGAGAGGGAGTGATCAAATATGGCCGGAAACTCATTGGAGCAACCGATCCTCAGAAATCAGAGCCTGGCACCATCAGAGGTGATCTAGCAGTGGTTGTGGGAAGGTATAAGCATCCGTTTTTAGTGTCGTTTTTACATATGCTAACTTCTTCCTCACGTATCTTAAATTGAGCTCTTCTTTTGCTGCGCAGAAATATAATTCATGGGAGTGATGGTCCTGAGACTGCCAAGAATGAAATCAACTTGTGGTTCGAGCCACAAGAATTGGTTAGCTATACAAGCAACGCAGAGAAATGGTTGTATGGAGAGAACTGATGAGGCGTGTTATAATCAGTAGTTGAGGAAGATTTAGTCCCACATCAGGTGTGGGGTTGAGGCAGAGTTTTTGGAATAAGAGCATCTTTATGGAGGCGAAACTACTTTGTTATCATTAAACTACCGCTCAAAAAACAATCTCTTTTCTTTTCTCGGCAATCTTAAAAAAATAAGCAATAATCCTCTTACCTCCTTGATAGTGGAAATACTGAAATTTTCGCAGTTAATTATTCCTCCTGAGGGATACGATTGTGAACTTGTTTTGCAAATGGAATGACAATTATAATGTGTGTTTTTAGGTCTATGGGTAAACTAAGGATAATTTGAGGGTCTGAAATCTTGGGGGGGGGGGGAAAGAGAGATAAATTGAAGTTAAAATCAACTCTGAAAGCTGGGTTTCCCTACTTCTCTTGTCTACTAAAAAATCGAATTCAAGAGAATTTTGCATGTTTAATTTTATAGTATTTAAATGTATAGAAAGTTTTTGTAATACTTTAAAATATAAAATTAAAGAACTACGAATATCGTATTGTCAAATATTTATATTATAATCTAATTTTATAAATCTAGATAAAAAATTGATAGTGCAATTGGGAGGCTCGAGTAAAAATAACAAATGTAATTATATAATATTGAACGAACATGTTTGAATGATGAATATCATTGACACGGTAGGATCAATTAACGTTACGTGCCTGAGATTAACCATGACAATTGGATAATGTAAATAAGAAAACCATACGGATTCAAAGCTGTCTGCTCCTAGCAAGCTAGACTAAACTATTTGACATCCCGTGGAGAAAAAAGCTTATTAAGTTAGTGGAGTGTTCTACACATTGCATAAAGTGATGTGATCCCAAACAATGTAATTCGTCAGCAGAACGATTTATTTTATCAAATGCGCCTAAAAATTCCAATTACGTCTCATGTTTTCATAACGTCTAGATGGTATGTCTCTGAATATCCTTTTATACACATATACATGTTCTTTTCCAGAAGAAGAAAAAGGCTGTTTAATAAAAGAATTATTAATTTTATCTTGCATATTATAAACGGCCTGGGGGTGTAGCTCATATGGTAGAGCGCTCGCTTTGCATGCGAGAGGCACGGGGTTCGATTCCCCGCACCTCCACTTATAATTTTGCCCATTGGGCATTATCCATATCTTTCTTACTTATCGTTGAGCATATGGTTTATTTTAGAAAATTATAGTAAACTTTCCCGAAATAAGTTGGGGGTGTAGCTCATATGGTAGAGCGCTCGCTTCGCATGCGAGAGGCACGGGGTTCGATTCCCCGCACCTCCACTTGTATGGTTTTTTTCCCATCATCGCCAATGACCATGGCGTATCTTTTACAAAATCACCGTACCAACGGCTGGAAATCAATCAAAGAACATTCACAGTACAAAACAAAATAATCCTTTCCCATCCCATTTGCAGTCTGAACCTCACGTTCCTCATCATCATCCGTCCTCCAAAGAAGGGTTAAATATTAACTTAAAATGCAAACATTAAAACACTGTATTTCCCCGTTCTAGAAAGAGCGAAGAATTGAAAATATGAGTCTGAGCATAGCTTCTTCACCATGGCTCTCACGCTTTTCCCCCCCAAATACTAAACTACCCGACTTTTCTCCAAACAACAACTCCACTCTCTTGTCTCTTCTTTTACGCTCCAATCCCCTTTCTTCTCTCAAACCGAATAAACCTTTCAAACCCATAGCTTCCTTAAAGGAAACCCAATCAAACGGCGTCGTCGAAGAGACCTCCGTTTTAGACGAGACGTTACTGAGCAGGGTCTCGGCTACTAAAGATTCCGAAGAAGGACTCCAAATGATCGCTCAGAACCAGAGTGAAAGCAGTGGTCAACTAAACGGCGGCGTTGTGAGTGTTTCTGACTGTCGTCTGATAATAAAATCTTTCTCTTGTAGTTATTTATTTTTTCAGTTATAGGTGTGAGTGAGAATGAGCCATTGGTTGATAGATGGAAATGGTCAAGACCCGATGTTGGGATTTACACTACGTTAGTTCAGGGATTGGCTGCATTGGTTAGGGTCTCCGATGCTCTTCGAATTATCGATGATATTTGTCGAGTTGGAGTTTCTCCTGGTGAGGAGGTATGGACTTTGAACTTCATTAGCCTTAAAAAGGATGTTCCTTTTTATCATTTTGATTGGAAAAACCTTTTGGGTCTTTTTGTTTCTCTTATCAAAGGTACCTTTTGGGAAAGTTGTAAGATGTCCCATTTGTTCCATAGCTGTTGGTGTTGCTCAACCACAACTTGGAATTCAGGTGAAAAATGCATTTTTAGCTTTTTGGTGCTGGTATATTGCCTGTTCTTTATTTGCAAATCGTAGGATTTGAAGCTTGTTAAGAGTGCTACTACGGCCACTACATTTAGGTTGTAATTGCATGGTTTTAAACCTTTATGCACATAAGCCAACTACAAGGTTATTGTCTCAAGATTTTGCTTTCTATATTTATACATTTTTGCAGATAGTATGTTGCGCCAAATGTCGCTACAAGTATGAGCTAGTTTCTGGAAACATAGTTAGTGTTGATTCAGAAGAAATCAGGTTGGTTTGTTTCTTAATATTTTACTTTCTGAGAATGTTCGACTTTTCCCTAGGAGATGTAAATTTGTTTTTTCCTGACTTATGTTTGAAACTTATGTTCCCAACCACGTAAGTTCTGATCTGTCATTGCATTCAGCTTTAAGCTTTGTTTGCATTTCTATCTCAGCCATCAAAGTTTAGTGCACTCTTGGAATACTTTGAAAATGACTTTCGTAATAGAATAATAAAGGTTGAGTGCTTTTACAGTATAATTTTGATATATGCAATTCAGACATTTCATTTTTTTTAAATACACATGTCCAACAACTATGCCAACATATATTCCAAATGAGTATGGGACATGATCCTCTAAATTTATAGAAATACATGTAAAAAGTTGAACTTAACTGTGTTGGATACACTTTCTTTTAACCTTCATTATGAATGCACTAATTAATATTATTGATATTACACTATATTCGTGTATGGTGTTGATGCTGGGATATTCACTTTTTTCTAAGGAACTCCTCCTGCTGAACGCAGCATGGAGATTCCAGCATGGAAAAGGGGGCTAAAATCTCTGCAGATACTCAAGCAAAGAGTTCCTACTGCTGTTCACTCTATTCTGGTATGCATTTACTACCTTGTTTAGTATTTAGTTTTCTGATTTGACAATATGTTTTTTTGGATTCAAAACTTGGTTTATAACAACGTGCTTTGTGTTCATATTATTTATCTCATCAGTGGTGAAAGGAATTTTTTTCACAATCTTCTTATTATGGAAACCAAATATAAACCCTCTTTATTTGATTTAACACTTTCAGTGATTTTCTGCCAATTCTCAGTTTATGTAAAATAAACCCTTTGGGCCTTCTTTGATTAGTTCCACTTTCATCCATATTTTAGGTACAAACCCCTTCTGGTCTGACCCGTACACACAGGTTTGCTACTGAAACAGTTGATCTTCCTGCACAAGAAGGAGAAAGAGTAACGATTGCTTGTGCTGCTCCTTCAAATGCTTATAGAGAGGTAGGACCCTTCAAGTTTAGTCCTAAGGCACCTAATTTTTACCCTGGGGAACCGATCTGCCTGACAAACCACAAAGATGGTCGGGAATCACAATTAGTACGAGCCCCTGCAAAAGATGGAAACACATCCATACTTAAGCCTCAGTTTATCATTCCACTTCTCACTGTCCTGGCTGCTGGAGATGCTGCGTCAGGGGTAATAGACCCAAGCTTACCACAATTGCTTTCTGTGGCTGCTGTAGGGACCCTTGCTGTTGGAGCAACTTTAAATGCTGTGATTTTCCCCCAATTAAATCAGGTAAGCCGTGCTCTTGGCTTGCTTTAGTTCTACTGTTATGCCTGCAAAACCATAAAACCTTGTTACCATTGAGGTTCCAACCCATTATTAAGGCTATAATTTACCTATATGTTTCTCACACCATTAAGTCTCTACGTTTCTGGTTTGAATGCTAAAAATGACTTGATTGTATCACCTCAGTGATTTAAGGTATTATTTCTTGCTAATGGTAATGAGGATAATTTAGTACAGCTCTGATTCCAGTATTTCTATGGATACTGCTAGGATAAAAGAAGTTTTTTGGGGAGAATAAATGTATACTCATTCTGTTATTGATGGTGACAGCTTCCTCAAAGATCGGTGGAAACAACCGCTATCAAACAGCAGCTTTTATCTCAGTATGACATACTGCAGTCTCGCATCAGGGACTTAAAAGAAGCTGCTGAAAAAGAGGTACGATCTAGAAATGACAACTGCACATGGTCGACTATTTTTCTAGTTAGATCTATCACTTGGGCCTCCTGGTATTCAGATTTTCGGCTCAGGCCCCAAGTTGCATGGGACTCCCTGTCCTTAAACAACATTTCATCAACTTAAAATTATTGTTTTGAAAACTAGCAGTGCTGCTAACAAAATTGTTAAGAATTAATTCAGTTTAACGTGCATGTCTTTTTTTTTCTGGTTAAGCAACTTGATCATACGATTGATTCTCTATATAAATTGAATGATGACATGATTTTTCTTTTGCGGTTATAAATTGAACTTTTATAGTGGAACTAAATATGAGCTTGATTGGACTATCTGTTAATCTTCTAGATGTAAGTCGGAAGAACAAATTTTTCCAAATATGTTAGATAAATCGCACTTCTTAATCAATCATTAGTCAATAGTGTTTTTCTAAATCAGTTCATCCTAGGGTTGTTTGATGTTTTATTCAAGAAGCTTTGTTCATTTCACGGTGTAGGTTTGGATGCTGGCTCGCATGTGCCAATTAGAGAACAAAATTTTTGCTATAGGAGAACCTTCTTATCGGTGAAACTCTTTACACATATTAATTACTGTGTTATTGATTAATTTTATGGCTTCTTGTCTTTATTTAAACATATTTCCCATCATCTTTTGTTTTCAATACAGTGTAACAATGTTTTCTTTGTGATCTATTTTCAGTGCCCGGAGAAGTAGAATCAAAAGGGTGCGCGAAGGCTTGGAGAACTCGCTCAGGGGAAGGATTGAACTCATTGATAGTTATGCAAGAGTAGGTCTTTCTATTATTGAAACCTTGACAACTCTTCGTTTATGTTTATTCGTTATGGATTGTATCGGATTAACATATGTTGTACTTTTACTCAGCAGATCTCTTCAATGATTGAAATTGAAGTGGAAATGGATTCTGATGTTGTAGCTGCTGAAGCAGCAAGCAATGCAGTGAGCACCATTCTTCATATATCTTATCTGCCTTTAACAAGCATACATAGTAATGTAATTGACAATTTGTTTCCTGTAGGAAACCATTGCTGAGCAGATACAACAAATCATGGAGCTCGAGAATCTTGAAGAGGCATGCCCCTATCTCTCAAAGCGATTTTCCTTTCTCTTCCTCCTCCTGCCATGTTCTTCAGTATGTCATTCAACTTTTCTTGATCAATTGTCTCCTGACATGTTTATACAGAAATGGAAACTCCAAGCCGAAGCAAACGACGAGGCAGAGAGACTACTTAGTTCCCAAACTATACCAACCAAACAGATTTAGTAAATATTTGATTCAAGCAACACTCAGTTGGATCATCATATGCTTTATCTCCAGGACATTCAATTTTGGTTGGATCAGACAGAAGTTGTGGAATCGACATTGGAGATTAGATGTCTGACAATGATTCAAATACCCTTTGAAGCATATTTCAATATAATACTGGTATCAGATGTGGGAAAGATGGTGGCAACAAAGCATCAATATGTGTGGCTACTTTCCTGGTCATATACCCAAGAGCTACTCCAACAACTTTCCGGATAACTTGGTCCAAAAGTTACTTTTTATATGTTGGATTCCATTTTTCTCATGTAATTCATTTTGGAACTTGTTAATTCTGCTGCAAACTGTATGTAATAATATAAACAAAGTACTGGTGAAAGCCTGTGTCTATGATTAAAAGATGTATGCAAGAGTGGGGATGAGCATTTAATTCAAAAATATATATTAAATATTGAAATAAATATATTAATAAATTTTATATGCCTATTTTTGAAACAATCCTTTGGGAAAAAACGAAAAGGAAGCTAAAACAATGCCTGTGTCTTACGGGATCCATTGCTTTCTTCCTCGTTTCAGGAATCGCAATAAAACCCGACAGCCAGCACGACGTTAAAAACTTCTGTTGGATGAAACAAGACATATTTCCTCGTTACTTTTATGCCTGTCTCAACAACCAACTGGTTCAAATTTATTACAAAACCCCCATAAATAATATTGAAAAACAAACACAGATCTGCTCCTTTCTCATTTTCAATTCCACCAAAAAGGTAAAATCTATCCTGAAGCAGGAAATGTCTTTTCTTCTTCTTCGGTTTATTCTCGGTGAAGCATATCTATGTTCGATTGTTTTAGTCGTTTGCCTTTGATGGGTTTGCCTTAGTCTTTGTTCATCTCATATAAGTAAACTTGTTAGAAGAACTTTATTTCAGTGGCATGACTAATTTTGAAAGGATGCACTTTCAACCATTTCTGTTGGTTGGTTTGCTCTTAAATTAGTTGATTATTGGTTATGCTGATGCGACCTTTGGTGTTTATATTCCATATATATATATATATATATATATATATAAATTTGTATAATTAGTATATTCCACAATGTTCTTATTGATGCTTTCTTGGCCTTGATAAATGCATCTCATTGAGCAAGTCCTTAGACTGCATGTTCCATTCATATGTAATTACAGGCAGCTTTGTGTTCACTGGCTCAGTTCTGAATATCGAAAAGTAAAGAGAAGAAGAAGAAGCAATTCTTTGATGGGGTCTGCGAGCGAAGATATTGGTCTTTCAGGCCCCTTGCACCTAAACAGTATAGATTGGTAAGCTCTTCCCCTGTTGAACAGAAAACGAGAAGATATTTAAGGTCTAAGAACTTGAATCTTGGCAAGTGGATAGATAATGTCTTGTGTGCTGAAATATTTGTTCGTATGTTACTCGTATGCAGGACAAATATGAATCATCTAAGGTCTGTAGCAGCTAGTTTGGTTCAGGGTGCCTATATTTTGGAGCGAGATCGCCAAGAAAAACGTCAAGGTTCTCAAGCACTGGCTCCATCACGGAGTTCTTCCATTTCAAGTTAATTCGCCAGCTTGTTGATGATGCCGATTCGTGCATCTTTGGTGCCATTTATGAGTATACACCACCATCATCTCATTGTAATGACACAATTGACCGATGCCCCCGCTATGTGATTGCCTTTCGAGGAACCATAAATAAACCTGACTCCTTCTCAAGGGACTTCTCTTTGAATATCGACATCATACGAAATAGACTTCAGACTTCTCGCTTCGAGATTGCCATGAAAGCTGTTCGAAATGTGGTTGCTATTGTGGGTGATGCAAATGTCTGGTTGGCCGGCCATTCCCTCGGTGTAGCAATGGCAATGCTGGCAGGAAAGAAATGGCTAAAACAGAATTTTTTGGAAGCTTTCCTCTTCAATCCACCATTCTTATCTGCCCCAATTGAGAGAATCAATAATGGGAATGTAAAACATGGACTGCGGTTCGCAAGCAATGTCATCACAGCAGGACTCGTTCTAGCCACGAAGGGTAACAGCGAAACAAATCGGTCTGAAGATCCATTCCCTGTTTTGTCTACATGGACCCCCTGTCTATTTGTGAACCCTGCAGGCCACTTGTGCTCTGAATATGTTGGTTACTTTGAGCATAGGAAAAAGATGGAAGAGATCTATTAACGAGTGTCGAGGCTGCAGAACCACTGCATTTGATCCCTTCGGCATATTTGACCGTGAATCCTACCCCTTCACAAGATTTCAAGCAAGCTCATGGAATACAACAGTGGTGGAGACCGGATGTGCACTTGAAGTGCAATCTTCATAAGTACAAATAGTTTGTCCTTATCCAGGTTGTGTTTGAAATATTTGTTGTATGTTACCCGTTTCGCGAACCAAAACGAAACGCGGACTAGGTAACACCGATATGTACACCATTAGACGAACACTTATTACCGGTCTCTGTTGCAGTGGGTTAAGTATTGTTTTCCATGTTACATTGAACTGGTGGATTCCTGTCAAGTATTGCACTACTGTCAAAGATCCATATTTTCAATTAATTCTTCAATCAATTGAACCATAGATTTAATTAAAAACAAATGCATAAAATATTGTAACTATAAAAGCCCAAGCTAAAATTCCAAAAGCCCATGGCTTATATTCAAATCACGAGTCCCAGTCCTTCAGAAATTAAAAAAAAAGGTATAATAGGCTTCTCTATTTCCTCTTTCAAGTCTTGAAAAACCGAAAAATTGAGTCTTTTTAGAGTCCATGTTTGCCGGCCAATAATTATTATTTTAACTTTTCTTCTTCCTTATTCAAAGGAACATACGATTTTAATTTTATTTTCTTTCATATTCCTTTGTTAATGTCATTCTAGAAACGCTCCTCGCCACTGCCTTATTCATGCTTCGTATTATTGTCCTTATTTATGAATAGATTAACATCATTACATGCATGTTATTTTATTGATTAAAAATTGATTGTCCTCTTAGAAGTTTTAGAGTTTTCATTATCTAATAATTAAAAAAATTTAGAATAAATACTATATTATAATCACTTTAAATTAATAAAAAAATTAATATCAATGTGTATATTTATTTCTTTTTACTAATAAGGTTATTCAATAAATTAATTGACTCTCAGTTTAACTTTTTTAATATAACCATAAATATTTAATTTATTAATTAATTAATTCGGATTGAATATTATAAAGTTAATAGTGACAATCCCAACTCAGTTTAATTCATTGATAAATATTAAATCCATACTCTTAACCTTCTTTAAAGGATCTAATACCTCGTCGTATTAGATCAATCGATTATTGGTGACCTATATCAAAATTATAAATAATAGTAAGGTTTTATTTAATGACCTATATAACAAGCAGTGACAGATCCAAACAATTTTAGAATAGATTCCAAAATTTATTACACCTATGTCACAACTACCAGAGAAATCCTGAGCGAAGGCCCGATATTGCAGATGCAGGGAAAGTCGTATACCGATATGCCATGCCGGACTGAAATAGTAAAACACCACCAGCAAGAACTATTCTGTTGGATTAAAAGAAGGAAGAAGACAGACTGAATTTCGAGGTTAGTGGAATCTGGATGATGATGATTTCAATGTCTGCTGCTGTATGTGGGCCCCACGTGCCTAGAACAACTCCGCCAGTTCTTACCCACAAAGTAATTATCAAACAAGTGCCAACTAGTTCGCCCAAACTCTTCCACCTGATTCTCAAAACGCCCTACTTCTCGCAACACTAAATAGTTTGATAAATTTAAGCACAAAAGCTTCGGTTTCCTAAAATAAATTGCAATTGGAAGAAACGCTATTTTTACACTTCTTTCAACAAATCTGGAAATCTTATAATTAGCCGCTCTTAAGTTACATGAACAAAACTACAAAGGACAAAAAAAATCAGCAGTGAAAACCTAAAACAGAACCATCACTCACTGCGATGCTGACTCTGCACTCAGATTTAGCATCCACATGATGTGTGAAGAAATTCAGAACCCGAGTCCGACCCGCCATCTCCATCCGAGACTCTATCTCCATCGTGGGTCCAACTCGATTCCCATTATTAATCCCGCCAAACCCACCAATCACACCGATGGGCCCCGTCGTCGGAGTTATAGGAATCGTTGCGGCCGACGCCTCATTTGGTGCAGCCAAGGGAAAAGACTGAACGGCGAAAGTTGCGGCCATGTACTGGGTCCGACCCGCCTCGATCTTTCCCGCGGGTATGAACATGAATCCGACTTGAGAACCCGAGTAAATGAGCTGGATAGAGCTGTCGTAGTGAGAGAAAGCGGCTCTGTTAGGGTTTTTAACGGAGACGTATTGGGAGAAAGTGAAGCTGACGGAGTTGTTACCGACTGAGAACGACGGAAGCTGGACGGAGTTAACGGAGATCTTCGGATCCGTGGGTTTAAAAACGGTGAAGTAAACGATGAGACCTATTATTACAACGAAGATCAAGAAAATCGTTGCTACAATACACGAAGCTAGATTTGTGCGGCCAGATGGAGGCTTTTGAGGCTTCACCATTTCCTCTTTCTTCGATAATTTAATTTTTATTTAACAAACAGATTAAAGCAAATCAAAGAGAAAAACAGATTCCTGGAGTGAAGGGGTGTTTGGATGAGAGGAAAGTGTATTTAACAAGGGAAAGTGGATAAGGAAAATGATTTAAGTGACGTAAAACAGTAAAAGTGGAGACTTTTGCTGGAATTACTAGGGCCATGCGAATGGTAATATCAAAGGAAATATGAACTAATATATGCTTAAGATTTGACTGAAAATTTAATAAGATATTTAAAAAAGATAGTTAAGTGTTATTGAAAATGTTAATTGATAATAATATTATTGGTGGAAAATATAAAGAAATATTAAAAAAATTAACAATCGATAAACTTTACTTATCGGTAGATATTGATACCGTGCACAGAAATATCGATATATATAGTAATATATAAGAAAGTGAAAAAAATCGATTAAAAGTAGACATGTATCGATACCTTTATAAGTATATGTATAAAAGTATTAATACTTTAGTAATTTATAAGAATTACAATGAAAGTGCTTATAAAACATCGACACTTTACACACATGTATTGATACATGACAATATAACATGTTGAAATTTGACAAATCCGATTTCAATTTAATAAAATAGGTAATGAATTTGACAAAACCGATTAGAAATTGACAAAACCCGTTGAAAATGTCCAAGTATCAATACACATTATTAAAGTATCGATATTTATAATTTCGAAACAATGTATGCAAAGTATGTAAATGTCTAAGTATCGATAATTCTTATGCCGGTATGGATACTTTTATTCCAATATGATTCTCAAACAATTTGCATGCAAAATTTATCAATACACATATATAAAGTATCGATACTTGGAATTTCAGAAACTATTACTTTAAAGTAATAGATAAATTAACAATGTAAACGGTAAAAATTTATCGGTATAATGATAATATGCGTAAATACCAACTATCGATACTCTTTATATAGGTATGGATACTATTCCAGTATGTTTCTCAAACAATTTGCACGCAAAATGTATCGATACATATATATAAAGTATCGATACTTGGAATTTCGAAACATTTTACTTTAAAGTAATAGGTAAATTAATAATGTAAACGGTAAAAGTCTACCGGTATATTGGTAATAGGCGTAAATACCAAGTATCAATATTTTTTATAGGTATAGATATTTTTATTCTAGTATGATTTTCAAACAATTTGCACACAAAATGTATCGATACACATATATAAAAACAATGGCTATCCCTTGTTCCCATATGTAATGGGGTAAGGGGAGGTAAGATAGTAGACTGCCCCCAACACTAGGTTGAGAACAACTTCCGTAGGAGACCTACAAATTATGAAATGCCCTCCATGGGACTTGATCCCACGACCTCAAGGTTAAGAACCTTGTGCTCTACCAACTGACCTGGATGGTCATTTCATATCGATACACATATATAAAGTATCGATATTTAAAATTTTGAAACTTATTATTTTAAAGTAATATATAAATTAACAATGTAAATGGTAAAAGTCTACCGCTATAATGATAATAGGCGTAAATACCAAGTATCGATACTTTTATATATGTATAAATATTTTTATTCCAGTATACTTCTCAAACAATTTGCACGCAAAATGTATTGATACACATATATAAAGTATTGATATTTGGAATTTTGAAAACATGTTACTTTAAAGTAATAGGTAATTAACAATGTAAACGGTAAAAGTTTATTGGTATATTGATAATAGGCGTAAATACCAAGTATCAATATTTTTTATAGGTATCAATACTTTTATTCCAGTATGATTTTCAAACAATTTGCACATAAAATGTATCGTGTTGGGATTTGCAGAAGCTCGAATCGACAACCGAAAATGTTCACCAAGAAGGGTAGGGACGATTCTTGTGTTTAGGGAATAAGGAGATTGAAAGATAGAAAATTTGCACAGCGATTTATAGTGGTTCGACTTCTCAACCAAGTCTACATCCACTACCTTAACTCCTCACTAAGGATTTTCCAACAAATTCACTAATTTGTTCTTTCTTTTTACAGGACAAAGAGATAACCTTTACAACTCCCTAGTTTTTCACAGGCTAAACTAGAACCTTATCCCTAGCTTTTCAAGGGCTCAACTAGAACATTTCCTTTTACAAAAGGATGAAAGAAGTAAACAAGAAAACCTCTCAAAGGTAGGGTGTTTACAAAATTTAAGCTCACAAGAACACAATATTTACAAGAGAATAGAAAAATAAGATTGAAAAACTCTTCTTGTAACACCCTCAACCCATACCCGACCCGGATACAAGTCCAGGATGTCACATTGACTATAACAAAACAATATTCTAAAAAAATGATAAAACATTTGGACTTATATTATTAAAATATGATAAAATAAATATGTTAATACAAGTTTATCAAAATACTCAGAGCATACACAACTTGACCCTTTGATTAAATGCCAACATTCATTTACATAACCAAATGACCTACTGATTAAGTTGCATATGATTTGATAGTTGCAGGAGTAATGTTGTCCAGCTGCTTAACATGTCTCGTCTACTTTCTCGGATCCTACGTGTGAAACACTCACACGCTAAGTCATCGACTTAGTGAGGCAATATAATAATAATAATAACAATAACAAGGAATTGTAATGAAAATGTCATAATAAGATGAAATGAAATGAAGTCATATACTTAATCAATGCAGTTATATCACCATGTTCCTTACCTATAAACATATTACATTAACATTCATGAATTTGTATTAATAAGTTTATTGGCCCATGATACCATATTGAGAACCTAAGTGTTGAGTTAATCGATCGACGAATATGGCCAAGATGGGGGTGAATTGTCAACTAAAATTTTGGTGGAAGCTTTTGCAGAAAATTGAAAGAAGTTGCACAATGATTTAGAGTGGTTTGACTTTCTCAACCAAAGTCTACGTCCACTACCTTAGCTATCCACACTAAGGATTTTCCAACAAATTCACTAATTTGTTCTTTCTTTTGAGGCAAAAGAGATAACCTTACAACTCCCTCAAGAATGTACCCCAGTTCTTGAGAACACTCTTTCTCAAATAGAAGATTACAAATTTGCAAACTTACAAGGAAATCCTCACAAGGTAGATTGTTTGTACAATTCTAGAACAAAGAAAAGAAAACTCAAAAATGAATACAATTGAGTACAATTAGTGTTCTTGAAAGAAAAATGAATATTGAATGAAAAATAGGCTTGAAGTGCTCAAACAATTAGTTTGATGCTTTTTCTTTGATTCTCACTTGATTCTTGTTTCTTGTTTTTCTTCTTATTGATCAATGGCTTCTACGCTTGTTTAAATACTCCTTCAATTGATTCTGAACGTTGGGGATGATTAGTGGAGTCAATAGAACCGTTTAAGTTTGAAAACAATTAATAAAACCAGTTAGGAGCGTCAGTGCATCGATGCATACACAAGGTGCATCGGTGCATCAAGTGTAAAATTCAAATATTTTGACCGTTGGACCCTTAGTGCATCGGTGCACTAAGAGTGCATCGATGCATGAAGTGCATTCGATGTTTCAAAATAGCTTGAGTGCATCGATGCATGACTTGTGCATCGATGCATCAAATGCATTCGATATTTTAATAAAACCCTGAGTGCATCGATGCATGGTACCATGCATCGATGCATAAAATGCATTCGATGTTCAATTTATTCAATGGTGCATCGATGCATAGATTGGTACATCGGTGCATCCCTTTGTAAAATTGAGTTTAGGCTTGATTTTGGTTCAAAATACTTAGTGAAAATTGTTTCAAAAATATATTAAGTATAAAACACAATTTTACACATTTAGTAAGGTTTGAAATTGATCTTGAAAGACTTGGAGTAATAATTTGTTATTCGATTAATTGAATCGAATATACTTATAAAAATCTTTGTAAAATCTTAAAATTCATTTATATTTAGTTTGTTATATCGAAACATCAAAATGTTTTCAACAACCTCCCCCTTTTTGATATAACAAAACATTTGTGTAATTTTAAGATTTTCTTTGAAAATAATTTTGGAATCAATTTTGAAAAATTACTCCCCCTTACTTTAATACTTCTCCCCTTTTATAGTTTTACTTTAACACTTCTCCCCTTTTACACTTTTACACTTCTCCCCCTTTTTGTTAAATCAAAAAGACTCTAAAAAGATGTAAACAATATTTATTTTGAAAAACATAGCCATTTGATTATTAATAAATATAGCTTAAGCTGCTGAGAACAAAGATCAAGAGGAATGTTAGCCTTTAGTTTTCATAAACAACATTCATAAACAAATGTGAAATGATATAATTGGTCATAATGCAATTAATATGTAAATTATGCAAAAATTAATAAACATTAAGCTCAAATAGAATGTTAAAACCAAACCAAGTATATATAATAAGTTCAAATATCCAAACATACAAATCATAAATTCAAACATTCAACCATCCAAAATAAACAATCTAGAAACATCAAAATCAATCCAAGTTTTAAATCCAAGAAAACATAACAAGGAAAAATCTAATCCATCGGAGGATCAGGAGGAGGAGGAAATCGTGCTTGCATCTCAAGAGAGAGAGCATCCATACGTGCAAGTATCTGCCGTTGAAACTCTATTTGTTGAGCTTCCAAAGTGTCTAAGCGATGATTCATTGCTTCGTTGCTTGCAGTCAAATGGGATTCAATGGAAGCAAACCATAGATCGAATGTCTCCAAAAACAAACAAAAAATATGGAGGCACTTGATCCTCTTGTGGTGCCGGCGCATTGTCGAGATCGTCAATGTCTTGAAATAATCCTTGAAGCTCGGGATCATCATCTGCAGTCAGTTCCGGTGGAGGAGCATGAGAAGAGCTAGGAGCAGCTCGTGAAGAACTAGCTCCCGGAGTTGGCTTATTGGGTCGAGAAACCCATAGACCAGTTTTCTCATCATGTTTCCAATCCGCTTTCTTCAACGAGGTGAGATTGATTTGGTTTTGGAGAGGGATATGATTGTCGAGAGAGACATTAAGACCGAGTTTGATAAAAAGGTTACTAATAAGACATCCATAGACTAATGTTTCGACATGTTTTGAAGGAATAATGTTTATGGTGTCCACTAGCTCACTAAATATAATGTGTGGCAGATTTATTTTATTCTTATTCTTGATA